TGTGTGTGTGTGTGTGTGTGTGTGTATGTCTGTGTGTGTACATGTAGTCAACAGAGGAAAGGCACTAAAATTAAGGAGGATCAGGAAACTTCTCATAGAAGGTGGAATTTTAGCTACGATTGGAGAGAAGCCAAGAGGAAGAGATGAGGGAGAGCATTCTAGGTGTGGGGGACATCCAATGAAAATGCCCAGAGTCAGAAGATAGAGTGTCTTATTTAAGGAACCGCAAAGTGGCCAGTGTCACTAGATCAGAGAGTATGTGTGGGATGTAAGGTGTAAAAAGACTGGAAAGGTAGGGTGTGAGGTGGGGGAGTAGGTTATGAAGGGCTTTGAATGCCAAATAGAAGATTTTATACTTGATCTTGGAGGTGATAGGGAGCCCCTAGAGTTTATTGAGTAGGAGGGTGACATACATGGTCAGAGCTGCACTTTTGAGAACCAAGTGGAGCATGGGCCAGAATGGGGAGAGGCTTGTGGCAGGCTATTGCAATAGGACTGAGAATCCTGATTCATAGAGATAAGTTATTATAAATGGAATTCAAACCTTATGAGCATATTTAGTAATAATGGAATATGGTTGGGCATGAGCACACAAAAACTTTTGTTAACTTCATTGCAAATAAATTCAGTTTCTGGTATTGAAAAGATTAATTAGTCTTTAAATGGCTCATTATTGTTGGTTTTTTTCTAGCTGAATATGGTAAGGGTTTTTATGTACAAACCTCTTTTATTTGGTTTTGGTCAATAGGTACTATTGCTTCAACTCTTTCTTTCAAATTTTCAGATTCATTGTTACAGTCTTTCTCTTTCTTACCCTTTCCTCACAGGCATAACCTATAGGCAGCTGGCGGCACAATGGATAGAGTACTGGGGCCTGAAGTCAGAAAGACCTGAGTTCAAATCAAGCCTCAAGCATTTGCTCTTTATGTGAACTTGGGGCAAGACATTTAATCACTATTTGCCTCAGTTTCCTCAACTATAAGATGGGGATAATAACAGCACCTACCTGAAGGGTTGTTGTGAGGATCAAATGAGATAATATTTGTGAAGTGCCTGGCACATAATACTTATAATAATAAATAAATACTTTTTCCCTTCCTTTCTCCTCACTTCCTTGTTGTTCTCTCTCCAATCTATAATTTTTTTCACTAACGCTTTTAGAATATTTCAATAAAATAATATAGTTATTTACAAGGTATTCTCTATACCCCCTTGATAAACTTTTCCCATCCCTTGACGGTATGTGTACCCCAGGTTAGAAATCCCTGCAGGAGAAACAGAAGCTCGGGGGTAAGAAAATTGTCCAAAATAACAAGTGACAGAATGGGGATTTGAATTTACATCTCTTTCTATCATACATAGCTTCCCTTGGGAAGGAGCAGCTAGGCAGCACAGTGGATAGAGCACTGGGTTTGGAATCAGGAAGACTCGTCTCCTCGAGTTCAAATCTGGCCTCAAACACTTACTAGCTGTGTGACCCTAGGCAAATCACTTAATTATGTTTACCTCAGTTTCCTCATCTGTAAAATGAGCTGGAGAAGGAAATGGCAAACCACTCCAGTATCTCTGCCAAGAAAACCCCAAAAGGGGTGACAAAGAGTCAGAAACAGCAGAACAACAGCCCCTTTGTGATAGGGGTCACAACAGATGATAAGGTAAAGGGTTAAAGGAGGGTTCCTACCCCTAGCACTATTCCTAGGTATTTCCCTAGAATTCCTGCCTTGGCCTGTGTGAGGTATCCCCTACAGCATTTGTTCGATTCCATTCCGTTCAAATTAACTCAACTGGATTAAACTAAAATCGTACTAAGCATCTCCTATGTGCAAGGAATTGTGTCAGGTATGTTGCATGAGCAAGGGGAGAGAAGAAGGAGAGAGATATTTAAATCAATAGGAAAAGCCATCTGCCTTCAGGGAACTTACATATTTTGTATGATGTTAAAAGAGAACATAATAAAGGTAGATCACTGTTGGCCATGAGATGGAGGAGAGGGGAAATTACAAAAAGCTTTAAGGAGGAGGTGACATTTGAGCTGGGTCTTGAAGAAAGGGCTGGAATTCAACAGGCAGAGATCGGAGGAGGACATTTCTGACAATTATGTGAGCACAGTCATAGAAGCAGGAGGCTTCAGAGGACGATGAATAGTCTAATTTGGCAGTGTAGGACACATGGACAGGTGTAGTGTGAGGAAAGGTGGCACTAGATTGGAGAGATATATGAATGCCAAGACAAAGCATATGGCATTGATTTGGTCAGCAATAGGGTGTTCTCAGAGTGGCTTGAGAAAGGGAGCAGCGTGATCAGAGCTGTGTATGTGGAAGATGATTGTGCAATAATATGAAGGTTGGATTAGAGGAAGAAGGAAATGAAAGTGGGAAGAAATGTCAGGAGATCATTACACAATTCCAAGAAGAAAAAAAAGAGTATCTCCTTGAATAGGGGCAGAAGACAGAGCAACTTTTCTACCCCTTTGTTATTGCATTCCCTGAGACATCAGGGTAGAATCATTTAATCCCACCTTCAGACTCAGACCTGCCTCAGGGACAAATTCAGCCTCCAAGCAAGGGAATACAAGAATCCCAGGATTTGGGGTTAGGGTCCTTGGCATTAAGTCTGGTCCTTCTCTGACTTTGTGCTCCAGTTTAAATAACTCAAGATTTTGTCTTATTTCTCACAATTGGGCAACTGCCTTGTACTCCAGTGCTAGAACATGGGTCCCTCTTTCATCCTGCCATATTTAAGTTCTCTGTCTAGTCCTTCAGTTCATCTAGGGCTGCCAAGTGGCCTTGGTCTCTTCCTTTTCCTTCCCGAGACTGAATTCTTGACTCTGAACCCCAGTCCTGGTGATTGGGCCACCACTACCCAAAGACACACTGTCCCATCATTGACTGCCTGGGTCAGTATAGTAGAGAGAATGGTTCTCTGGAGGTCGAGAGGGCACAGATAGTGTAGATAAGATTCCCTGAGGGCTCTCCAGCCATACCAGGAACAACTGGACTTCACTGGAAGGTTGATTTCGCTGGCTCTTCTCTCAGGGGCTGCAGCTAGAAAGATACTTACTGGAGCCATTGATTTTACCAGCTTATACATGGCAGTGAGCAGAACATGTGGTGAGAGTGAGAGGTAAGCAAGTGTAGGCAAACAGGCCAGTTGAGGTTGGGAGGAACAGTGCAGCTGCAGGTCCCACAGTGTAGGGTCTCCTGGGTTTTTTCCCACTTATGTCTTAATTGTGGTGAATGGAGGGTTCTCACAGGTGTCTTT